CAGCCACCAATCAGTACTCGTGGAGTCAATGTAGATGTTAGTGGAATGTTTTTGGTAAGAACTTTTTTAACTTTCACACTTTTAAAATCATGAGTCAGTTCAAGTTTCAAAATTTTAGAATAGTACAAAATATATTATTAGATCATTTATATCTCAAAATCAAAAATTATTAGAATTTGTTTTGATGATTGGTTATTTTCTGGCATGAAGGTTGTGAGAACAAATTTCTCATTGGAAGTGACTTGGAATGGAGAGTATGATGTTGATGTCAGTGTTCCTGGTGCCTTCTACAACAAGACATGTGGTCTGTGTGGTACTTGGGATGGTGATAGAAGCAATGACAAGCGTCAACCCGATGGAAGCCAGGTATACTGTAGCTTTGAAATACAACTGTTATCGGTCCCAAATTTTCTTTTAACGCATCTAATTTCATTTTACTGTGCCTGATAGGACGGTCATGGATGAGTGAATCTGTTTTAGCGTCGTCTTGTCGAGCAAATCGAAAGCTCTCTAGTAAAGTAGTAAACACATGCAAATATTAAACCTTTTACATGCATGGGTTATTTTGGGGGGGGGTCCTCGAAATAAAGTGATTTTAAGGGTTTTTAACTACTTGATTGTGATTTGTGGGGGCGATTGGGGGCGGGGTTTGTGAGTAATTTTTGGATGCAGAAGTAAACGATTAAAAACTTCACAAACCGAATCCCTAGATATACAGTAATAGGCAATAGACATGCGCTGAAGCTGTGAGCCTATTTTTAATACTGCTATTCTCTCCTTCTGTCTTTATGATTATCATCTCAAACAGCATGCATGAATATTGGAATAGAAGTGGGAGTTTGGAGAACTGAAGAATTTTGTCGTAAGTTTAAAATTCAGCTGTCTTTATTCGTACGTTATTTTTTTTCAAGAAAAATACAGAATACTTAACGTAAAGAAACATTTTATTCAACAGCATTGAACTGTCCAGATGGATCCAGCTACAAACAGTGTGTAAGTGCATGCCAACCCTCCTGCACAAATCCTGATCAAGATCCTCTTGCATGTTCCACACCTTGTAGTGAAGGCTGCCAATGTGATGAAGGTTACTTGTTAAGTGATGGTGTGTGTGTTCGTAGCGTGCAATGTGGCTGCGTATTTGAAGGCTTGTACTTTGAAGTAAGTCCATTACATATATTTAATTAGTGACAACACAATATGTAAGATGTTGTTATAAACATTTATTATACAAAGTGTAGAAACATTATTCGTTGAAAGTAAATAATTTGTTTCAAAAAGCTAAACAATTGATTCTGTTGTTCTTTTTTCAGATTGGTTCTGAATTGGTGGATTCAAATTGTACACAGATGTGCACATGCAGAGCAGGTGGTTATGTGGATTGTTCCGACATGGTTTGTGATCCTGATTCTCTATGTGGCATTTCCGATGGCGTTTTTGGCTGTTATTGTCCAGATGGATTTATTGGTGATGGATTAATATGTGATGGTGAGTATGAGGAGTATTGTGTTTCAGAAGAACTATTTTAAAAGTTAGTGTGTGGTGTGTTCTAAACCCGTTCATAAATTGCTTTTATTTACATCTTTTAGTTGATCCTTGTAATGAAAATCCATGTGCAAATGGTGGACAATGTACAGCTATTGATAGTGTCTCATTCACATGCATATGTTTCGCAGGATGGACAGGGGACACATGTGAAACAAGTAAGTTAGAATGGTTAGAAGAAATTTAACAAATACCTTAAAATTGTCTACTTTCATCTTAATCATTATGAGTTAGAAGACGTTACTATACTTTCTGTTTCTTAAATACGTTACCTGGTTGATCTGATGGTTCCAAGTTTCATTTAGCAGAACCTACTGTATCTAAACAAAAAGCATATAATTATTGTTTCTAAGGTAAAGTAAAGGTTGGAGACTACAACTAGCGTCGGTGTTAAGGTGCTAGTTAGTGGTGCTCCTGCCTTTCTGCTTGGCCACTTGTGGTTGTCTTCTTGCAACTCTTTATTGTGTCCATGATATTTTAATTATTTACTTTTTTGTAAATATAATTGTTTCTATATGAGACTGATTTCCATATTTTGTGTTTCAGTGACTGGTCATTGTAGTGCACATGGAGACCCTCATTACACAACATTTGATGGTCTTCGCTATGATTTCCAAGGAGAGTGTCAGTATGTCTTGGCTCAAAGCTGCAATGATCCAGAAACTAACTTCACAATTGTGCAACAAAATGAAAAGTATGCAGTTAATCCAAATGTTGCTGTCACCAAGGAGATCATTATTTATTTAGATGATGTGGTATGTATGACAAACAATTTGTTATTTCTTTACAATTATATCATCTTATTGCGTTTTCTATAAAATTCACATCAACATTTTTATTACATCAGGTTATTTCTTTGTTGAGAGAACGAATTGTTTTGGTTGATGGCGTAGAACAAACACCACCAATCAGTACTCGTGGGGTCAATGTAGATGTTAGTGGAATGTTTTTGGTAAGAACTTCTTTTAACTTTCACAATTTGAAAATCATGAGTCAGTTCAAGTTTCAAAATTTTAGAATAGTACAAAATATATTATTAGATCATTTATATCTCAAAATAAAAAATTATTAGAATTTGTTTTTATGATTGGTTATTTTCTGGCATAAAGGTTGTGAGAACCAATTTCTCATTGGAAGTCACTTGGAATGGAGAGTATGATGTTGATGTCAGTGTTCCTGGTGCCTTCTACAACAAGACATGTGGTCTGTGTGGTACTTGGGATGGTGATAGAAGCAATGACAAGCGTCAACCCGATGGAAGCCAGGTATACTGTAGCTTTGAAATACAACTGTTATCGGTCCCAAATTTTCTTTTAACGCATCTAATTTCATTTTACTGTGCCTGATAGGACGGTCATGGATGAGTGAATCTGTTTTAGCGTCGTCTTGTCGAGCAAATCGAAAGCTCTCTAGTAAAGTAGTAAACACATGCAAATATTAAACCTTTTACATGCATGGGTTATTTTGGGGGGGGGGTCCTCGAAATAAAGTGATTTTAAGGGTTTTTAACTACTTGATTGTGATTTGTGGGGGCGATTGGGGGCGGGGTTTGTGAGTAATTTTTGGATGCAGAAGTAAACGATTAAAAACTTCCCAAACCGAATCCCTAGATATACAGTAATAGGCAATAGACATGCGCTGAAGCTGTGAGCCTATTTTTAATACTGCTATTCTCTCCTTCTGTCTTTATGATTATCATCTTTATTATTCAATCCAAGGCCGAGTCTACCTCCGAGTTTGGTAACAACTGGAAGTTCAATCCATCTGAATGCACAAGTCTTGAACCACTAGCACCATACAATCCATGTGCTGATGACTCAATTCTGAGTAATGCCCAAGACATCTGTAGTGTTCTTATATCTGATACTGGTAAGGATTGTTTCATAAAATTTAACCAATGTTTGTTGTTTCCATCAGACAGAAAGAGGTGAAAGATTTTAGAGGGGTATATTTAACAGTGGATAGACCCTGAACTGTGTGAGTGTGTGTGTGTTGATTTGAATTAATGTAATTTTAAATTGTAGTTTATTTTAATATAATGTTGGTCTTTATTTTTTTGAAAAGGTCCCTTCCGTGATTGCTTCAACACAATTAATTCAACAGACTATTATGATAATTGTGTGTTTGATGTCTGTGCAACACCAGAGGGTGATATTTCTTATTGTGGTAATATTGATGGTTATGCTCGTGCCTGCAGAAGCAGGTTCATAGACATTGGCTCATGGAGAACACAAGATATTTGCCGTAAGTGTTTATTTATCTTTTAGTGTCAATGAGGAATCATAACTTAGTTATAACAAACAATGAATTATTTATGTAATTGTAATTGTTTCTCATTTGTTTATCCCTCTTTGAACAGCATTGGCCTGTCCATCAGGATCTGTTTACAATCCATGTTCAACCGCTTGTCCATCAACCTGCTCAGATCCAGATGCCGGCAGTGGTCGCTGTCCATCTCGATGTGTTGAAAGCTGTGAATGTATTCCAGGTTATGTTTTGAGTGGAATCAATTGTGTTCCACTCGACGAATGTGGATGTGATTACGATGGAATGTATCTTGAGGTGATTATACCTGTATATGTTGATATTGATATATTTAGTGCCTTATAGAAGAAAATCTCAAAACTTTTGCAATGATACTGCTCCTGCTCATTGCATCAGTAAAGGGCTTTATAATTATATATACTTCCACTAAAGCTCACCACTCGCATCTTATTTTTCAGAGAATTTTATATAACTACCTAATTTTATTTATAGGCTGGTAGTTCATTTGTGACAGAAGGATGTGCTGAAGAATGTATTTGTGAAGGAGGCTCTGTATCTTGCACAACACTTGAATGCTCTCCAAACTCCACATGTTCAGCAGTAGAAGGTAGAAGACAATGTGTTTGTGCTGACGGTTTTTATGGAAATGGATTGGAATGTATGCGTAAGTATTTGAGATACACAAACTGTACTGTATTCAATATGTAAATAAGTAATCGTACATACCAAGTCTCACGCATTTGGCATGAGACTCGCATTTTGGTTCAGCCTCGCGCTTAAAGAATAAAATCTTGCGCATAAATTTAATGCCTATATAATAAAATAGATTAACTATTTGTGACTTCCTTTTTAACCCTCGTACTAAATATTCTTCATCTACAGTAATTCAGATATGGTAACATTATGTATAACATTCGTTTTTTAAATTGCTGCCAGATAAGATCAAAGGACATGAACAGTGTAAACGAATTCATGTGCAGATGTTCTGAAATGCATGCATTTTCGAGAAATTTTCAAAATATATATTTTCTGAATTTCAAAAGTATGACCTTCAAATTTAGAAAATTAGAAATACTATGTTTAGATTTTTCTGTTTCCTTTCCCGTTGTTTTAGCCCATACCATTGAGTGTCTAATGCCATATTATAAGGGCATGAATTCCAAAAACCTCTGAACCTTTGTTGTTAGAACATACAGTAATTCAGATCAGCATTGGGGGACTTTTGACTGATGACACAGTAAGCAATTTTAAGCATGATTTTGGACTCATTGAAGTAGAGAAAACAAAAATTTTAATTCGATTTACAGTAAAGACAACTTTATTTTGCATATTTTTCTAATCCTATCAACAAAACGATCTATGAAATTTGACACAAAACCAAAATTTCTTCAACTGATATCACAACACACCAGAAGTAACTTGATCAATCAGTGACTTAGAATTACAAAATTTTTAGGCACACTGTGACAATCAGCTGAAGAGTTCATTCATGGAACATTGGTTCACTGATCTTGGTGGCAAACTTTACTGATGGTCATTAAATTAATTGATGTGATGCATCTTTGCATCTGTTCACTTAGGCTGGCAACATTAACACGATTTATTGAAAATAATTTGTTTTCCACTTCACATACAGCTGATCCATGCAGTAATAATCCATGTGAAAATGGCGGCGAGTGCATAAGCAATGGTGAAGGAGAGTACATGTGTCGCTGTTTAAGAGGATGGCAAGGGCTACACTGTGATGAAGGTATACTGATATATTTAAAACACCAGTGAATAATGCTTTCTCTCTGTAAATGTAGGTTTGTAGCCTTAGTGTAAGCAGCCTCTCCTTAGGCTGATGCAGGATGTGTCGGTAGAGGGGTGTGTGAGACCGCAACCTTGGCGGCCCTAAGGTGGAAACATTTTGAAAATTTAGACTCATTGGTGCCTGGAAATTGCACTCTCATACCTATTGCATGTTACAAATATTGTATCATACTGTATATAAAACAATAATGAGTACTATCCATTATTTTCATAATTTCCACAGCAGTTTTGTAGCTGTAGAAAACTAACGGTGGGTGGTAGACATTTTGAGGGTGGGTGGGTGATAACATTTGTAAACTCTAAACAATATTGAGGGGATTTTGGGGATGGAAAGGTAGGTTTATAAAGGTAGGTGGAGGTCCATAGAATTAGCTTTAGACTGGGTGGAAAACTTCAAGGTTGGGTGGCCCCGCCCACCGTAACTTCATCCCTGCCACAGAAATGTCCACGGTACAGAACCAATTTTAGGGGAAGGGGGTTAAAAGTTACACTTTAGTTTTGAAAAATATAAAATGTTATCTATATGAATTACTAGATAGGCATTTAAGTTGCCATGTTTTGAATTATTGTAGATTCTAGAGACCAATTTCTCGTTGGTTGTCCAATGGGATGGTGTGTATGGTGTGGACGTTTCCATTTCTGCTGAATACTTCAACGAGACCTGTGGTCTTTGTGGAAATTATAATGGTGATGGATCTGATGATTTTACACTGCCTGATGGAGATATTGTGAGTAAAGTACTTAATAGTAAACTATCACTTACATAATAATTATGTAATGTACCTGTATAATATTCACCAGAGTTGTTCTTGGCATATTAAAATTGACTGTAGAAATGGTAATTAAGCTTATTGTATGCCCATATATGGTCATGATGTGCATACATATGGTCATGATGTGATGTCATCATGGCCATATTTGGGCATGTCAAATGTTGTGGTCAAATAAAATTTGATAGTCTGGTCAGGGCCTTTGATTAATATGACAGAGACTTCACGTGTCATTGTGTCTGCGCTTTGTGTCTGCAAAGAAAGGCGCTCTATAAATGACCTGATTGGATTGGTTTTGCCCAAGATTGTGGGCAAACTGATAAAGGAAAGGAGTGTCTCAATTATCATTCTCTACACTGCTTTATGAAGGGGATTCCACATTGCTGTTCCATTAAAAAGCAGAAATTTAGAAAAATGAAACTAAAAACAAACAAAAATTGTTAAAAAGGTGGAAGAATTAAATCATGTTTGTTTTGTTCAGGCTCTCAATGAGGCAGAATTTGGAAATGGTTGGATTTACAACAGAGAGGAATGCACCACGGTAGAGGTTGTCTTGCCGCATCCTTGCAACTTGACCACACCAGAATACTTAAACATGGCAGAAGCATCATGTTCCGTTATTACAGCCCCAACTGGTAAGCCGTTTTAGTATTCTACATCAAAATTCATAAGCAAACCAAAAACAAAACAGTTAACTTTTATTGTGTTAGATTTTAAAACATGCAACCTTTCTTATTTCTTTTTCAGGGCCATTTGCTGCCTGCCATGAAGAAGTTGATCCAGAATTTTATTACGATTCCTGTGTTTATGATCTATGTGCAACCCTGCCTGATCTCTCTGCACTATGTCCTGATGTCCAAACATATGCAACACTGTGTCAAGCATATGGTGTAGAGATTTCTCTCTGGAGAACACCTACATTCTGTCGTAAGTGAAGATTGATTCAGATGCAGCGTTCTCCCCAGGCCCTTGAAGCATCATGGTACCATGATGCTTGGGACTTTCCCCATGATGCTTGACAGTAGGCCAAGATGCTTGGAATATCTTCCATGATGCTTTTATCAGGGAACAGTTAATTTATTGAACTGTTCCCTGCGTTTATTTAGTCTTAAAGTGCAATTTAGGACATTTCAATGCCTCCTAATTATTTAAAAAAAATCCAACTATGGTGGATTTAACACTTACCATAACGCTTGCCCATGATGCTAGGGGGAACACTGAGATGTCACTTAAATTGAATAAAAAAATATTGAAAGTTCATTGATATCAGAACACACGCATCAAGGATTGTCAATAGCGAATATATCACAGTCCTAATTCTAGGTGACAGTTCTTTCACAAGACAATCATATACGCATGATTCTTTACATTAAACTAAATCTAATATGAGGCTTAGGAAGCAGAGATGTTTTAGTCGTGAGGAATTGTCAGGAATTGAGCCCAGGACCCTGGGATTTGAAAGGTTGAAAGCATTTTTCTTCAATAAGGTGTTCATTTGAAGAAACAACGGAAATATAAATTCTGTTAGATGTGATGAATGTTCATTCAGTTGTTTATACAATTATCGTTTTCTCTTAGCATATGACTGTCCTGAAGGATCTTCCTACAGCCTCTGTGCTGATGCCTGCCCAAGAACCTGTAGTGACCCTGAAGAAGAGATGACATGTAGTAAGACATGTGTAGAGGGCTGTAGTTGTGATGATGGTCTTGTGCTCAGTGGATTACAGTGTGTGTCACCAGAGCAATGTGGTTGCAACTATGAAGGAAGATATTTGAAGGTGAATATAATAGAATATTTCATAAATACTCTGACTAATTCCATTGTTCCTTTAAGAACACACTTATGACAAAAATAGAACCATCCAATTGTTCCAGCATGTTTTTTGTGCTTGTTTTTAGGTGGATGAATTCTACATTAATGAATATTGTACCGAGATATGTACCTGTATGGGTAATGGCAGCGTAGAGTGTGAACCATACTCATGTTATTGTTTGGCAAGCTGTGGAGTCAATGATGGAGCATACGGATGCTTCTGTGCCCCACCACTTATTGGAGATGGACTCGTGTGCACAAGTAAAATCTAATTGCATCCTTCTTCATACTGTTATATACAAGTTATTATTCAATATTAACGAATTAGTGAAGCAGTCTGATCGACCAGTCTTGATTACCATTTTGTCACTCTGCTAAATATTTTTTCTTTATCAAACCCTTTTTAAGTATGTTATTTTATTTTTTTTCTCTGATATAGTTGATCCATGCTACAACAGTCCATGCAGGAATGGTGGTACATGTGTCGTAGCAGATGGAGATGAGGATTTTAACTGCCTGTGTCCATACTTATGGACTGGTCCAACTTGTGAGACAGGTAAATTATCAAATACGAATTGGATTATAGTAATATTTCTGCTGGATAGGATTAGATTGGATTTCAAAGACTTCAACTGGGCACTGCTTTCTAGGAGCGTTGGCTACCAAATCCGACTCCGTTCCCAGTGAACGTTAGATGACGCAACATCGTCTGCCGGTGGTAGACTGAACACATTGTAATTAAAGACAATCTGTTGCGCACACAACGTGGCGTTGCGTTCTCCAATGAGTGCTTGCCTTGCTCTTTTCTGAGGTGTGTAGGCATATGGGTCATATTGCGCATGCTTAATAATTTGAAGTCAGCTGTTATTTTATTAGATTATTGCATAATCCTTTTAACAAACAGTGAGTATACAACCTCAATGTTTTCATGCCCATAATGCACTTCCTCTTGTGAATAAATTAAAAATACAGTGGGAGGTATTTTTAACATATTTTTACTTCATTTTCAGCTGTGGGCTACTGCACTGCATTTGGTGATCCACATTTCAGGACTTTTGACAAACGTAGTTTCACTTACAGAGATGCATGCAAGTACACTCTTGTTGAAATTGTTGGTGATGGTGTTGAACCATTTAGTGTCACCATAGAGACCATCCCAGTCCCCTATAGTCCCATTGTCAGTTACGTGTATGTCACTGTTTATGATATGGTAAGTTTTCACTGTTGAAGATTTAACTCTGTGTTTCTAATGTGTTTTAAATAAAATGCATTATTTTCTCATTTAAAAAACTAATTAATTTAGTAATTTAATTTTGATGCATGAAAGTCATTAATGGAACTAATACTATTTCACACGAGACAAAAATTGACTGTGAAATCACTGTATAAATTGGTGAGTAACAGTCAAAGCAATTACTGTATTTATTTGAATAAACCCCCCGCTTTAAATATATTCCCCCTCGAATAAACACAACCTCCAGCGTCTCATTTAAAATAAATGCCTCCCTCAAACAAATGCCCCTGAGCATTTATTTTTTCCTTGAATAAAGGCCCCTCGACACCCCCCCAAAAAAAAATATCTAAACAATACTAATGGAACCAACATTATTCTAATAATGTTGTACTCCAGTAGAATTACATTTTTTCTAACCTGATTAGGATCAATAAGTCTTTATGATCACGCAAAACATTTTGACGGTAATTAAATGTTGTAGTTCCACATTTACAGTGAAATTAAGTGGCATTTATTTGAGTATATACATATCAATTTTACACCAAAAAAAAATAAATGCCTCCCTCAAATAAAGCCTCCCTCGAATAAATTCTCCCTCAAACCCCACCTCAACAATAAACCAGCTGAGGCGTTTATTCAAATAAATGTGGAATTTAATTATTTATTTGTAGAGCCTTTAATTCACTGCTTATTTTGAACAGGAATTTGGATTATCTTGGGATCGCCGATTAACAATTGATAGTGCACAATTCTTACCACAAGTTGAAGTACCGGGTGTCAGAGTTGCAGTTGCAGGCGATTACATGGTAATTATAATACCTTTTGTGCAAATATATTTTAGGTAGGCCCATTCTCAAACAAAGCAAAACAATGCACAATGCTTTCAAGCCAAACTCTCAATGGTAAGGCAAGACTTATTTTATTCCTTGTTTTGCGTACTTATTTTTTTAAAGATCATCGGAGGAGGGTGGAATAAAAATAAAAATTTAATTTTGTTTTCGTATTTAGCAAATAGTTTTGCCAAAAACATCCAGATGGAGGATAAAGTAAACTAAAATTTTATTGGTAAATGTAAAATATATAATAATATATTATAATTATATAAATGTAAATTTATATAATTAGGAAGAAATATACATATCTTACCTTTGGAGATTTCAAGGCAGCAGAGGGGCGTAATGAAACTAAAGAAAAACTTTAATTTTTTTCTGAAATTACCACTTTTTCATGGCAACAGTTGTTCTAATTGGCCAAAAATAAAATTTTATTTTAATTCGAAATCATCAATATTTGCAGTCGGTGGGTTCGCTCAACAAGGTATAAAGAACTCCCGCCCAAGTTATACTCGCTCAGAGCGAAAGGAAAATTGAGGCCTGTTACATAACATTGTTGCATTATATACGCCTGGGTCAGACGATTGCATTAAATTTGAGTTAAGTTCCTGAAGGGAAGTTGGCATATATTGGTTAATCCAGGTCAGTATCTCATTCATAGACCAATAACATCAATTTTGATTTGTGTATTTGAAGTGTTTTTTTTTCTTCTTTGCAGGATCATAATCGATCAGGATGGTTCGTCTTCCTCTTATTACTTTTTTAAATGTTTTTCTTTATGTACGCACCATCAATTGCTATGTGTGACGTGTGCCGCTGATGGAAAGAAGTAGTTTTTCAAATATAGTATTATTTTTATGTTAGTTACCCAAAAATGTTGAGTTCTGGTGGATAATAATGTAGAGTTTTTTTTGGTTTTTTTTTAACAATATTTATAGAGGGCGCCTCTTCCAGTGTATCCTAAAAGTCTGCTGATATTCAGGGTACCTCTGAAATAAATTAAAATAATTTGATGCTTTTGTCAGTAAAGTCCCTTTGTGAAGCTTAGAGAATGGAGTTGTTTTTAGTCGTGAGAAAAAACTCCTGTTGTGACAGGAATTGAACTTAGAACCCTGGAATTAGAAGGCAAGCAACTTCCACCAAGCTATACAACTCCACTTCATTGTTTTAGTTTCAGTTGAAATAAGGTTTATCATTCTAAATTAAGATGAGAGCATGGCTTTCAAATACCACCTAGATGTAAATGTAGGAGAATAACGCATAACACGCAACGTAATTGTTCAACCTAGCGTATGGGTGCGGTCAGTGACAACTGGGACTAAGCCGAGCTCAAACATTGGAGAAAAGTACATATTAACAACTGGTTATGAAACAACTTTTGGAAATTATAGAATATCTGTATAGCTAAATTACCTTTCTTTTATCATTTTTTGGAATATTTTGTTGTAAATCATTTCATTTGTTTTTGATCACAGGAATATTTGCTGACTGTCACCGAGTCATTTCACCTTCGTCATATTACGATGGATGTGTATCCGATCTGTGTGTCTCGCTTCCTGAAACAAATCTTTTATGCGGCGCTGTTCAGCTGTATGCTTCATTATGCACCTCATCTGGTATTGATATTGGAATGTGGAGAACTATCAATTTCTGTGGTAAAGATCCTCTATTTGCTTTTCTTAATTAAATCCCTCTATATTTTTACATGATATTTTAAAAAAGATTGTTAAAATTCTGATAAAGGAGTAAATATCTTTATAAATTTGAGTTACTTCAGTTAACTTTAAGCCCCGCCCCTTGGATATTGTTGCTAAGGTCCCTCAAAATGACAGTGCATATTCCTAGCCCTGTTCTGATTGTTTAGTTCCTCTGAAAGGTCCATTAACAGATGCGATCGTATTTCTTACAGCCCCTGATTGCCCTGCCTACTCAGAGTACAGCTCATGTACATCAGCATGTCCAGCCACTTGTGCTAGTCGAGATGGTGAGGCATCTGACTGTGATTTACCTTGTGTGGACGGGTGCAAATGTGTCGATGGAAGAATTCTGCAAGGTAATGAGTGTGTCCTCCCAGAAGAATGTGGCTGTACAGATGCAGGATTCTTATATGAGGTATGTAATGTGACAAAAGCTGCTCATTAGTCACACTTAAGCTTGTGGCCACACTAACAAGTTTTTTGTGACAATTTTGTTTTTCTTTATTCTTAATACAAAAGTAATGTGGCTGCAGTACAGATGCAGGATTCATATATGAGGTAAATGTAATTTGACAAAAGCTGGTCATTTTGTCACCCTTAAGCTTGTGGCCAGACTAGCAAGTTTTTGGTGACAATTTTATTTTTCTTTATTCTGAATACAAAAAAGTAATGTGGCTGTGCAGTACAGATGCAGGATTCCTATACTGTATGAGGTAAATGTAAAGTTGGTCATTTGACACCCTTAAGCTTGTTTCCACACTATCATGTTTTTCTGTGACAAACTTTTTTAAAATTCAAATTACAAAAATGATATTCAAGGATAAAAACATAAAGTGTCAAACTGGCAAACCTAATACTGTAATATTATGGTCCAAACACCTGTGATTTACCTGTAAGGTGTGATGTGAATTCATCATAGCCATATATTTGTAAAATCGTAAGAATTTGTCCCAGAACATATGTCACTATAAATGTCAATATGTTTTTCCATTCAGATTGGAAGAACCTTTGTGCGAAATGGTTGCATGGAGACTTGTACCTGCACTAATGACAGAAAGTTAGATTGTGAACCTCTTGCATGTTCAGAATATGCTCTTTGTGGTGGATTCAATGGTACATATGGATGCTACTGTCCACCAGAACTCAGAGGAGATGGAATTGAATGTATATGTAAGTATTACTGTTGTGGAGAGTAATTAACTCATATCTTTATTCTCTGTTTCATGTAACAATTACCTAGAGAATTTTGTCTCAAAATTGCCTTTTTACCCCAAACAAATCACTAAATGCATTTCTGCTTTGTTTGAATTTATAGATAACCCTTGCCAGGATCTACCTTGTGCCAACAATGCCACATGTAACCCAAATTCAGATTTTGATGGATTTTGGTGCGATTGTCCATTTGGTTTTACTGGAAAATACTGTGATATTGGTAAGGACTGTGACATTGTGATAAAAATGTGAAATTGAAGGTTCCAATTGATCAACTACTGCTCGATGGACCAGCTTCAACAAATAATCTTTAAAATAAATAAATTAATTAATCATAATAAACGTAGATGTTTGATTCAATGATCGGGCTAATAATGTGAAGTGTCTTATAGGCTTTAGGCATAGTGCTATATATGACTGACTTATTTTTATTATTATTATCAGTGGTGTTTGATAAAACACACCCACAAAAGCTTAATACGAATCATTTTGTCATTGAAAAATTAATGAAGTGTGGAAAAAGAATAAATTACTTCCACTCCACGGGAGAAACAATCATACCCTGCAGGCAGCAGATGTATTACAAGCATCCAGCCTGTCGATATACCAATTTTATCCAAGGGGGACTGGTTTTAGCGGCTAAAATCAACCTGGTGGAACAATTTTAGCGATTTTGGCTGCCAAAATCTGTCCAGCGGACATTTATTTGGCCCTGACCTATTTTGGCATAAACATTAGTTATAAAATTGTGGTGATCTGAATAATGGCCCTTTCTCGAGAATGTTCAATCCCATAACAGAAACAAATTCTGACAAAACAACTCTCCCACAGTTTGTTGATAGTTTTAAAATAGCAGTTACTTTGTAAACAATGCTGTTGATCAACTTTTAGTAAACTCAATCAGAAACTCCAAAAACATGAAAAAAAGTAATTCAGTTATTAACATGGGTCTTAAGTTGTATATTTCTATAGTTGATTGTATCTGCATAGCTTAAAACATATGTTTTATTTTTTGTAGTTGAAAGTGTCTGCATAGCTTATGGCGATCCCCATTACACAACATTTGATGGTCTCAGTTATGATTACATGGGCAACTGTGAATACACATTGGTTAAGACATGTATACCTTATATGCCAATCAACCAATCAAGTGTGAACTTTGAAATCCTGCAAGAGAACATGAACCTTGACACCAATCCACGTGTTTCAGCAACTAAGAAAATCACGTTGCTTTATGACAACTATGTAAGTTTTGAGATTGTTTTCTGTGGAAGGCGCTATATAAATATATGACCATTGACCATTGACCCTGTCTCTTATACACATCTAGATGTGTATAAGAGACAGATATTACGATGGATGTGTATCCGATCTGTGTGTCTCGCTTCCTGAAACATACCATTTTTGCCAAATTTGAAATGATTATTTCCAAGAACCAGTCAACCACGACTGGGGGTCTTCCAGAGGCCTAGCATTTCGCTCTACGTAATTACCATCATGGATTGAATTAAGTGATAAAACTAAATATTCTAACAAACACAAATATTTTAAAATAGAAAAAAAGAATGAAATGTTGATATTAAAAACAGCTCTAAGTCTTATAAAGCTATTTCAATGTATAAATTGCAAAAGATTGTATCTGTTTTCTACTGCTGCTATTGCAAAGAAATAGCGGCGCTCCACTGCGCGGTGTCTATTTGTGACTGCCAGCTGCTCAGGCTAGGCCGCAGGAAGTCCCAGTGAAATGTTGCGAGATGTTGGTGGCGCTCTTTTAAATTAGACCCAATGAAATGGTGTATAATGGTTTCTTATTAGATAGCTAGAAAGCCTCATAAAAAGTTAAAAATGTAGTCAAAAACAGGGGTGGATCCAGAATTTTCCAAACAGTGGTGCACCACAGGTTGAAAATAGGTAATTAAGAAGCACATAACATTGGTTTGCAATGCAATTTTTAAAATTTAGTTACCAAACGTGGGGGGACGTGCCCCCCTACTGGATCCGCCCCTGAAAAATGTTATAGGAGTGTGACCATCTTTAAGAACTGAGATGTAGAGTTCTTGTACAACAATACAGATCATCTCTATTGAACATCAGAATTTTCATTAGTGGAGAGATATGAATGTTGGTAATCAGGGGTGGCACCAGGACTTGCCCAATGGTAGGTACAATGTCCCCGACTGGGGAGGAGGTCCTGATGTCCCCGACAAGACCAAAATTGATGTAGATGGACATTGCTTACTTTCTTTTGAAATTTGCCGTGGGGCTCAAGCCCCAAACAAATTTGAAAATTTAGGGGTTTCAAATGCTGATTAAAAGCGATTTTAGAGTCAACTAATATGTAGAAAATACATACAACTTTGTTTTCTCCTCGACAAAATGTAGTTTTTTTTCTCTCCAACGTGGTTAGGAGGGGTCCTGTCCACCGCTGGGCCCTCCCCCTCCCTCGGTGCCACCCATTTTGGTAGTGTGCTTTGGTTTAGATTCAGTTTGTTTCCTAGTCATGGTAATGAGGATGTACATGTGTTTTTTTTTTCGGTATTTTAGTTGGTTGTAATTTGAAAGACAATGACACGATAGTTGGTTGATCCAGGTATACTGTACCTTAAGTTGCAACAACACTTCTTATTTGTGTATTATATTGACACTATAAATGTTAATTTTGTGTTTAATCAGTTGAGCAGTGCAACAGATTTTGGTAATAGCTGGGTCAGTAACAGTAGTGAATGCGACCTTGAGAGCTCCACCATTTCAGATGACTATCTGACATGTGCAGATTCATCTGAATCAGCCATAGCTGATAGTTTGTGTGGTGTTATCAGAGATACAACTGGTAAGTGATGATTGACCTTTTCATTTCATCTTTTCTTTCAGAATTTCATATCCATAGAATAAAGAAAAAAAAATGATGATCAAAATTACAAACTAGAAAAAGTGGATAAACACAATTTCCTGCATCTACCGTACACAAATGCATTTTCATTAAAAAAAATATAGAAGTATGGTTGCCATGGCTAGTCATAACTGGTAGTCATTTTCATCACATTACATCAATCATTGCAGTAATTTTACATTGTGTAACTCTGAATTGAACCATCATAATTTAATGCCAATTAAAATTAGTTTATGTAATGGAATTTGACTCTATATAAGTTCTTTTTATTGACTGAATGATGTATTAGTCTATCTATCCACCTTAAATGGTTGTTATAATTTCAGTTATTATTATTTATTTTTTTTATTACAAATCAGATCAGTGATTGAACACTTCAGTCAGACATCTTTTTAATTCAATGAATAATTCATGCATTCTTCTTTCAGGTCAATTGAGCACATGTCATTCTAGAGTACCCTATCAAGAATTCTACTCCAGCTGCATTTTCGATGTATGTGCGTACCCTCCAAGTAGTGGCCCACAGTGTAGCGACATCCAAATATATGCCCAACGTTGCCGAGATGAAGGAGTGACTATTGAAGAGTGGAGATCGGAAACCTTATGCCGTAAGTTTCTATTTATGTCGTTCATCGATAATATTATATCTTTTATGAGGATATTTAATTGCCAGTAACAATCGTACAATGACTGTGTTTTGTAGAATTGAGTTGATTGCTTAAATTATTTCATTTTAATGTATACGTTTCCAAAAACCAATAATATCATTTAGAATAGGTTGACCAACAATTAATAACTATTGAAAAGGGTGAATAAATATTAATGATGATGATTACTTATGGTATATTGACTATTCAAAGAAGGTTGTCTGCATATTCCAAATAAATGCGATCTAAATTATTTCAAACAAATTTCTAAAACAAATTAAGGTGTAATTGTGTTCTATACGATTGTCATTGTACTGTATTTTGTGAATACTTGTAATACAAGAAATAAAATACGCCAGTTTCCTTTAGTAGCTTACATCGAAGGTAATTTGTATAGCATCAGTGCATGTTAACGAACCATGTCTTGCTTTCTGTATACCAAGTACACTTCTGGGTGCTAATGCACTGTACTACTCTACCCTAAACCATAACCTTAGCATTAAGATACTGAGACTGGAGTTATGGTTATGGTTAGGGTTAGGGTGGCGTACAAAAATGCATTAGCACACACTTCTGATTTTTGTGATTTCTTGCAGCTATTGAATGTCCAGAAAACTCGGCCTACACCACCTGTGCCTCGGCCTGTCCTGATACTTGCGTTAGCGCTGCTGACGGTCATTGTAATGAACGCTGTGTTGCAGGATGCGAGTGTCTGCCGGGATTTGTCCTGGAAGGGCATGAATGCATTCCAACTTCTGATTGCGGCTGTTTGTCTGATGGAATCTACTACACAGTGAGTTATTAGTTCCGTACAAACATAAGTTTGTTGTAAGGGTGCTTACCTTACAGGCTCAAGGTCATGGGCTCAAATCCTGTTGATCCAAAGATTTAGTTGATAGTTTAGAATTCACCTTCATTAAATAATATTATGGTGATAATAACAATAATAATAATTGTATTTTATAATTATAAGTTTAATTATTGTTATTATCTTGATATCATTGCCCTTATAATTTCCATGTCATCGTTATTTTTGTCATTGTTTTGATCGTCACAATTTTACTAAAGTAATAATATTTTGATCTTCACAATTTTATTAGTGTCATAATAATGTTGCTTTTTCAAGCTTGGTGAAACATATCAGTCCGAGAACTGTTCCGAGTCATGTACCTGTGAGTCTGGAGGTTCCATAGTCTGCACCAACACCTCATGTGATCCTGCAGCTACTTGTGACATCGTTGACGGAGTGCGGCAGTGTGTGTGTCCACCAGGGCTCATTGCAGATGGCACATCAGAGTGTATAGGTACGGTTTTTCAGATACCTCTTAAATCGAGTGGCGGAATAGTAAGGCAGGAGATTGAGACCATCCTCAGGCATAATTTAGTTTTTAGAATCGTATCTTCTGAGATAAGGACCAGATGTCGAGTGTACATACAGTATATGACTTGCGTGCACATTAAGTTCTGTAGGTTACGTTCAGACTAGGTGAATAAACCCAGCTCAACTCACCGGGTTTATCCACCTGCCAGTATAAACTAGGTGGCTTATCTCAAGCCGGGCTGTGTTCATATAGTAACTAGTCCTGGCATGCCACTGTGTTTAACTTTTCTAAGGTGGGCTTTAATCGCTGCGGGGATTCTCGCGTTGACCTGGGGTAAAAAAACGACCAATCAGCATTCAATTATGTGAGCTATGAGCGAGCGTACATGTGCAATGTTTTGAAACTCGTTTTCTGGTTACGGTTCATTAATATGCAAATTCTTGCACCTGGTAATCCAGGTAGTCTAAATGCCCAGCAAAGTTACGCCGGGCTTAACCTTGAGCCAGGCTTAACCTTGAGCCAGGCTTAACTTAATTTCCGGTAAAAGTATAAATGGATCATCAGTACAAACAATATATGTGCGTCGCGGCATTGTACTCTCTACAGAGTTGCGTCGACCGACGATCATCGAGCATAGCGAGTGCCCATCTTTATTGGTTATTCCATTGCCTTTTGAATTTCACTGTAGATTTTGTTAGTGTTTAGCCAACTCTTGCCCATGAAACTGGAGATAATTAATTGTTAAATACTGAATTTTCTCAATTTTTTATTTGTTGCACATGTCTTGTTTACAGAGGATCTTTGCTTCTCGGAACCATGTATGAATGGTGGCAGGTGCTTTGTAACAGGAGATGACTATTACTGCATCTGCACACCCGATTGGACTGGCGAAAACTGTACCACAGGTAACATTCCTTATTCCTAATGACGTGTTACGGTTGTGGTGGTGCATTTGTTTTAGCAGTAATATCAAAAATCCACAGAAGTCGGCAAAAATATTTAAATGTCCTCTGAAAATAGTGCTTTACTATACTATACCACAAGGAGATGTAAAATGTCTACAGTTTAGTGCACACATAGTGGCTGCCCAAATTTAGTTGAATATAAGCTCTGCTGGTCTCACTAGGGAGCTATCGATTGCACGACGACGGTAGGTTGTGGAACGTAATGACGTCACTAAAAGTCATCTTTGCCTGCGAGAACGTTAAGTTCCCCTTGTCGCATGGATTCTAGGACGCAATTTGGGCAAATCTACACATGTAGAGAATTTAGAACGCCCAGTAGGACGGTCTGGCATGAGTGATTCCATTGTAGCGTCGCGTAGTCGTGCAAATCGAAGGCTCCCTATTGACAAATGAGTGTGTGCTTTATAGAACCCATTGTGTATTTCAGAGGTGTAGGGGCTATCCCGATGTTGTAGTTTATTTGAGCGTCTGTCATTGTGGGACAATGTGAACATGCTACAGTTGTCATGGACCACGGCTATAAGTTATTCACTGCAATGAGGCTGCAAATTATGGGTTACTACCTTTACCCCTCTATCTTACTTATGTCTGCAATTGATTTTAATATATATACATATATTTTTTGTAGTTCAAAAGATTTGCACTGCTTATGGTGGTCTGCACTATACTACGTTTGATGGTTATACATTTGATTACTTGGGAGAATGTGAGTACATCCTTATGGCAGGAGATAACATTTATGGCGATGCATTTGAGATCATCCAGACTAATAGAAAGGATCCTGAAGATGAGGATCTGACAACCACGGAAGAGTTGGAGATTCACCTTAATGACTTGGTAAGTCCACCTCAAAGACTTGCGTGAATAGTTTTCTTCAACAGTCTTTCTTTTTAGTGGCCATTATGAAATTTACACAGATAGTACAGGTAATTTTGCATTTAGTTTGTACTGAAACAAATTAATACAGACTAAACCAAGACCATGAATAAAAACTGTATATTGAAATGGTGATAATTCAATTTCTTCTGTGATCACATGAAATTATACCGAGTTAATTAATATTAATCATTTTCAATTCTTCCAGACGGTGGAGTTCCTTCAGGGTCGAGAAGTCCGGGTAGATGGAGTCACTAAAACACCTCCAATATTTCTCGATGGAGGACATAGTATTTACCTGATTGGAACAGATGTAGTAAGTATAGGTCATAGGTCATCAGATTTCTGTCGTTCATGCTCCTGGGTCAAAAGGAAGTTGGAGAAATCACCTTTAAATTCCCAGCAAAAATATTGGGTCCCAAAAATTTAAAAGTAGAGAGCCAAAATAGTACCCACTGTGTCAAGTCATCATCCTCCTCCTCATCATCAAGTGATCTGCCAATTGGCAGGTTCATGGGAAGGCGGTTTGGCGCAGCGATTTCCATTTAGGTTCTGAACCTAGTTGAGGGTTCGAACAACACGCTGACCATTCTCGGCCAGCCATGCCAGTTACCCCTAGCTTGCTCTGTTGACAGGTTGCGAAGTGGCTCGCACTATGTTTCAGCCAAGGTGCCAGTATTTCATGGATTAAAAATTAATTAAATAAATATTGTGGCCACCTCTCATCAATATTGATGGTGACATCATAGCCCGATTTACTTAGATATAAATATATAGCCATTATCTTTAACTGTTCGTATGCGTTTTCCGTTTTATGTTATCTAGGATAGCACACATCTATTTCTTCCTTTTCATGGTTTTCGCATACTGTATATCGACCTTCTAAGACAATTTTGTGTCAAGTATTGTATTTATAGGTACAGTAGTATATTAATATTAATGATGTTTTTTATAGTACTTATTGATGATTTGACTAATGATAATCTTTTTGAACTTTCGGAAACACTCCAATTATGTAAAGTTTTAAAAACATCAAATAATTTTGTTTTGTAGGTCCTGAAGACCAACTTCAGTTTATATGTTCTATGGGACGGTGTAAATAATGTTGAAGTCAAGTTAAGTGAGGATGAAATGGTCATCGGAGGCTTATGTGGAGACTTCGATAACGACGCATACAACGACCTCACACTCCAAAATGGCACTCAGGTACTGTATGAAAACTATGCTTTTGCCAATGTAGGTTACAGTTAGTTGTGTTCTTGTCAAGGTAGACAAGTTCTTTTTTTTTTTTTTTTTTTTTTTTGAAAAGTGAATTTTGCTCCCTGTCCTCATAATACTACAAATTATTATATTTGGCATTCTATTAGTGTATTTCATAAATACATACCTGATTTCAACCGATTAATTGCCACTGTTAATTTAAGAACACCCCTATGACAAAAATAGAACGATCTGATCAGATAAGTTTTAAAACTGGTCTCACAACAATAAAGTGAAAATTACTTAATCAAATTTTTGACTGTCATCCGACAAGTCTTTTTTCAATAGTGAAAAGGCGGGTGAAATGAGGAACCTAGTCACATGACAACAGAGTGGTATGTATGACTGCCTGGTAGACTGCCGGTGGTGGCTGCATTTGTCCTTGTTGAGATCAGTACTGTTGGCTGTGGCTAATTTTATTCATACATACTGTATACAACAGTTATTAGTTTATTAAAAATATTGACTGTGAAGTATGGGATCATCATGTCAGATAATATAAATTATTTTTTTATAGACAATCAATGCGATTGAATTTGGAAATTCCTGGGTAGATGAAGAAGATTACTGCAACAGTACCGAAGATGTTAATTCAGAATATATGCCATGCACTACGACTACTGAAGAAGAATTTGCAGCTTTTCAATGTGGGGTCCTCACTGATACTGACGGTAAGTCTAGTTGCAATGGTTTTTGCAGTGGCAATGCCCAAAAGAATACTTGCATCCCCCAGTCTTAACCCCTCAAGAAAAAAATGAAAAATAATAAAAAATCAAGCTTAAGTTAGTTGAAAATCACGCTTTAAGTAGTAAAAAATAATCTGAAATCACCTTAATTTGTGAGCTAGCCTCTCCTTACCTAAGCATCGAACACCCCGAGATCACCTCTGCACCCCCCACCCCATTTTAAGACTCCCAGATATGCCACTGCAGTTTTATACTTCGTGAGCTCACTCAAACAGGCATGGTTGTGGTCCTGCGGTACAGCTAAAAAACTGAGCAAGTTTGAGCCATTTTGAAGTCATGGAACAAAGATGAAGGTTGATTTTGACTCCAATGGCATGGCCTGGCCTCCCTTCTAGCTCTGCTATTGATAATCTTTTGAAAATCAACTTTCATATTTCTAGGTTTCTTCTGGAGATGTCACTCTGTTGTAAATGTTACCAGTTATTATGAAAGCTGTAGGTTTGATGGATGTGTGGCCGAACCAGATACTTCAACAGTTTGTGACATCATCGCTCAATATGCTCAAATATGTAAAGCTTACAATGTAGAAATCCCAGAAACTTGGAGAGATGATGTTGATTGTCGTAAGTATAAAAAAAAATGAAATAGTAATTTTGATTGACAAATTTCAAAGACATTCATATAACCCACAAAAACAAAATACCTGTGCCTTAGCCTTTGAATTGTCTCTGTTTTTGTACAGTTGTACAGTAGTTCTAATATGTGGCAAAGACAAGCCAAACCAGTCACTCGTCGCAAAAATCGATTTTGAGTTATTAATACAGGGTTAAAGAGTGAAATAAGAGCTATAAAATGGTTAAAAAATTGTTCAAATCTGACATTTCCTTCGGAAGTTACAAGCATTTAAGCGTACAGCTGTTTGAAGAACAGTATACGAGAAATCAGCCTTCAAAGTTTATGATTTCAGGCATTTCTCATGCAGAAACTATCATAAAATCATTAAAAAGTGTTGTTTTAACATTGAAATCGGGAAAAATAACAGCACAGCATGATGTATAGATACATAAACCTTAGTTTAGTCGCTATTTTCTCTGAAACACAATTTGCGACGAGTGACTTGTTTGGCTTGTCTTTGCCACATATACTGTACTATTATAATTCCACCATACTCTGCCTCATTTTATTTTCATTTGTTGATACAATAGCTTTAGTTTATATTTGTCAAAGGGAATATCAAATCAAACAGATAAATTATAATTAGTAAACAGCCTATTTCGTGAATAATTATCTGAATGAAATGACTAGTGTCAAGTTTTTTTTTTTTACCAAAACATAGCTTAAAAATGAAAGGGAATGGTTTTTCTTGAATAGTCTGCCAACATCGCTGTTGGTTTCTGTAATTACATTGATGTCTGTTTTTGTTTTAACAGCATTGACTTGTGGTGCTAACTCAGCATATAATCCATGCATGAGTGCTTGTCCCTTGACCTGCGCTACACAAGATCCAGCACCATTTTGCCCATACGCTTGTGTTGACGGATGTGAGTGTGATCCAGGGTTCTACCAGGATGGTTTCAACTGTGTCCCTGTCGAAGAATGCGGATGCACCATTGATGGATGTTACTATTCTGTAAGTCCAAAATCTTATCACATCAGCATACAGGTGACTCATTGATCTGCTCTCTGTGAACTTATTGTTGGTGGAAGTCTGATAAGATCGGGGTGGCACCAGGATTTGCTCGACGGATGGTCCGATGTCTCCGACCTGAAAAAGTGAACATGGTTGACCATTTTTGAATTTTGAATTTTGCTCAAAATATTCTAAATGGTCTAGGGGCAATGACCCTGAAAATTTTTACAGTTAAAGGGTTTCAAAGATTTTAATCGATATTTAATCGATTGTAGAGTCGACCTTATATGTAGAAAATACATATACTTTTTTATTCTTCCCAATGAATTGTGGTTTTCCTCCCCAATGAGAAACATGTTCTATGTGCAGGGATACGTTAGTTTAAAAAACCAAATAAATAGTTTGAAGAAAATCCATGGATACATTTGTATACGGTGAGAATAATTTTGACAATAATTCTGTTATTAACTCGCAACCAATGAAGTTCATTGATGAGAGGAGCAGAATGTGTACGAAGATCACATGAAAAGACTAAAGCGAGCAGCCGTATTTTGTAATTTCTGCAGCCTATAAATATCTTTCTTGAAAAGACCGCCATAGGGCGAGTTACAGCAGTCAATTCGCAATAGTACGAGGGCTCTAACTGCCGCATGACAAGTATCACATATTATATGGTCACATCATAACCATATATAGGCACATCATGACTATATATATGAATAGTGAATGTTATTTGATCTATTTTTGACGATATATTGTTTTCAGATTGGATCATCGTATGTGACCTCAGACTGTAATACGGAATGTGAATGCAAAGGCAACAACACGTTTGAATGCAGCAGTATATCGTGTGATACTTACGCTTATTGTGGAACTGATTCCGGGGACTATGGGTGTCATTGTCTTGAGGGATTTGTAGGTGATGGCCACGAATGTACTCCATTAGGTATGAGCAGTGCAGTTGTTAAAACTAGACCTAAGTACCTTAATAGAACATCTATGATTTAGAAATGTTACTTTGATTTACGAATATTCATATATACGTACATATGTACACATACACAATGTTCATCTGTAGTAGCAGCAGTAATGTGGAAGTGGCAAGAGCCGCAATAACATTTTACCATTGAATTGTAATATATTTTTATATTATATAACAGTCTAGCATGTAATTATTTTTATTTAATATTTATTTAATAGCATGTCTACCTGAGCCGTGTGCATGGAATGCAACTTGTCTCTATCGACCTTCCTTTGACCTTGGTTTCTTCTGTGCTTGTAAAGACAGCAACACTATGGGACTTTATTGCAACGAATCTGCAAGTATGTTTCAATAAGTATTCAAGTAGTTTAATCTGATTTGCTTATAATTATTGTAGAGCTGTTTAATCAATAATAAATCCAATGCAATCATGAACCCATACACTTTATCAATAATCTAGTGTACTCTAAATTGTATATAATATATTATAATAATAAGTGGTGAATCCAGGAAATGGTGGAAGCAGCAATGGCTCCAGAAACTTCATGAGGCCCAGATTGTGCTTTTAGACTACAATATTAGGGATTGGCAATCAAAATAACGTTATTTAGATAGGCAAGTTTTTCTTTTGATGCAACGACCTTGTCGTGGTGTCTGACGACGGGGGTCCAGGCCTGTCCGGCTGGGGAAAATCCACTACTGCCCCCCTCCCCCCACTGGTGCCACCACTGAGAGAAAGTGGCACTCACCCTCGCGCCATCAGCCAAAAAAATTCTTATTAATATAATAATATATAATAATAATAATAATATATATATATGTATATATATATATATAATTTTATATTTTTCTTTTAGCATTTATAGATTAGAACAGCTAAAATTTTCAGGGGAACACTACAAACTTCCCCCCTCGGCCATAGGCCCTTGATCATCAAAAAAAAAACCCTGGCAAAAAAAAACAACAAATTATATGTTCTTTATAGTTAATACATTGAATCTTAATATTTGGCGTTTTCTGTTTTTTCCAGAACGGTACAGCTTCAATTCCATGCACAACAGACTCTGACTGCCCGTTGAATACACCATGCGAAGTCACAAACCCAGACACCAGTTGTGCAAGTCCTCCTTGTGAAGAGACCAGGATGTGTGCAGATACGCTGTTTAGTGGTTGCGGAAATGGCAATCCTAATTGTGTAGTCCTGAGTGTGGTCCTTGATTTCAGCTCACTTCCACCTGTAAGTACTGAGAGGTCCAACTCTCGGAGTTTCATTGAAACGCAATCCTGTATACTACCTAAGTACTACCACGAACTAGAGACGTCCTTAAAAAAAACTAGGCATTCATAAATGGGGCACCCCCTAACTTGTAGTAGTACTTTCTTTAACGTTTCATTGCGTGCATAAAAAATTAGGACAGTCTTATACAATTCTACTCTTTGCTATCGTATTATTTTCTGGAACCAGTCTGTCATTCAAGAATCTAGTAACCAGTAATGGTTCCTGACATATACTTTGCAACATTTTATTTTTCAGGGAATAACGGCAGATACATTGTGTAGAGGTCTTATTTCTAGTGCGGAGGAAACCACTGGCAGCAATAACTGTACTACATACCAGTGTGTCATTGGAACATCGCAACCAAGCAGAAGAAGAAGAAGAGATACTCCATCAGAAGTCACTGTAGACATTTACTTGGTCAGTGAAGTTTCATATATTCTACCTTTTTCAGTGATTTCTCTCATGAGATGTCGATGCAGTGAATAATTACAGTACTTGGATGAATAAATGGAATGCATCCACCCTAACACAGTATATAATTGTTAGGCCTTTATATAATCTAAAATTGATTTTAATGAGGCTAATATGTGGCAGCAAATCACAGAATGGGAAGCTCAGAGATGAGTTAACAGGTTCAGAGAAAAAGCCATTTTACAAACATTTAGTGATTACTGAATTGCAGGAAATAGCAAAGAAGTTCAATAAAAGATCTTTTGGTTAGCATCTCGAAATCTCTTTAGTGCTTCTTCATGCAAATTATGAATTGTACATATAAATGATTAGATGTATTATTTATTTGTGTAATCTTATGTACAGATTCCAAGAAATGGTGAATCCCCTGTGAAATATGCTGATAGCTTAGGAAGGTCTATAGAACATGCTGTTGAGGAAGGATTAGTTTCCTTCCAAATTGAGTCTATAGACACAGTATATCCATCTCCTAAATTTCCACTGGAAGCTCTGTTCAAGGAATCTGTAGACAATGTATTCAAGGAGATCACAACAGTTGAAAGCATCCGAATTGCAGGTAGGTTACAATGACGTAGAGTTGCTGCTTTGGCATGTGATTTAATGCTGTCACCAACCCTTTGTAGTTGCTACAAACTATCGTTGGCATTCCTTGATAATTGTCAACGACTTGGTAGCGAAGTGTCAATAACTTTTTATCAAAATTTTATATCATCGTGACATTTAATGATGGCAGATGGCTGCTCAGTGGTTAGAATTTGTTACTAACAATTTGGAAAGGTTGAACCTGGTTGAACTTATCCAATTGTGTTGGGGACAGCGATGCAGTAAAGTGTTTTTTTGTAGCAATAGTGTAGCGATTTTATTAAACACAGGCTTTGTACATGATAGTATTCACCAGCTTTAAAATAACACACATTAAATACAAATACTTTATATACATTGTCGTTATATTAAACATTAAAGTACATATAATCAGCAAAGACATGTATATATGAATCATGGCAGTAATAATCTTATTGAAAGTAGCACTATAGCCATGTTACGAATACATCATTGTCGTTATCGTCATTCATGCCTAAAACATTCTTGACAATGTGCTTACGAGCTGAATATCATCCTTCCTTCATGCAAAAGGCATGAATTGCCAATGTTATGATATATGCTACTGTAGGGGAAGGGTTGTCTATGAAATTGATGATGTAACCGTATTCGTTATCGTCTTCGTAAGCTTGAGAAAACTTGCTAATAACATTCTGAACGTATAATGATGGGGCAGCACTCTATTAAAGACTAACTAGTAAAATTCTTGACGTTATTCAATACTCGAGTACCTTAAAAAAAACTTTTAAAAAACTTGTTTGCCGTCATTCGCCGCCCCTAAAATCCCGAAAATTAGGGGCGGATTTTTTTTTTTTCAAAAAAGTTTTTTTTATGTTTAAAAGATCAAATGAAAACCACTTTTTCCCTATTATATGGAAATTTTTACTATTTTAATTTTTTTTTTTAAACAAAAATATGATCGTTTTTCCTTGAAAAAAAATGACAATCGCACAACTCTCACGATTTTTCTATGATTTTGCGAAAAAAAAAAAAAAACTTTTTTCCACCCGCCCCTGTATTCAAATTTTTTACAATGTGACAGCAAACAAACAATTTTTTTTTTACCATGAGTTTTTTATATTTTCTTTCAGACGTTCAAAACTTTTGGACTACCAACATGATAGTGGCTGTGGTTGGACTTGTAGTTGCTTGTATAATCCTCGTCGGGATTGTTGTATGTTTTGTCCGTTTCTTCAGGTCCACAAAGAGCAAATCAGCTTCCCCCAATTTTGGAGAATCTCAAAGAGTTGAAGGCATTGAACTCTCCAGTTCTGTTTCAACAGATACTGATTATGAAAAACCTTCTCTCTTATTCGCACGTAAAATAAAATTTGACGATGGTTCTGGCGGTATAGACAACATGTACGGGCTCAAATTTGAACCAGAATTAGATAATCTGTAAAATAATTGTAAACATTTTTTGTAATGTTATGGTAAATGCTGGGGCGATTTATTTTTTTCAAATAATGTTCGTAATATAATTATATTTAGTAGCAAGAAAATTGGCAAATTTTTAACTTATGAACAGTCTCCTGTAATTCCTCCTTTTGGGACCCTAATGTTATTTGTAGTTTGTTAATCCAGGCAGAAGCTGCGCCTTACGACCATTTGCTGACGATTCCGTCTCCTTTCATTGTGAGTGCTTGAAGATGTGAAGTTGATGCAAATTGTACAGATTTTTATTTTATAAATAAAATCCATTGTTCGTCCATTGTCGTGTGGCATTCACTTATGGAATCGTGTCAGCTGATATCCGTCGGTAGAGTGTGTGCCCAGTTATACACAGGAATTATGTAATAACCACTGAGCAAAACAATGTATTACAATTTGTTATACTTTATATAAAAATAGAGCCTAGCTTACCTCATTGTGTACGTAATATATGTTTGTTTTAACAATATATGTTTTAAAGGTGGTGGTTTAGCATTATCATGTATGTTATTCTTACAGTTCAAGTAGTAATTTTCATCTATATAATAGGCTAATTTTATAGATAAATAAATTAATAATTAAAATAAATAAATTGTGTAAATATTTCGTTAGGGAAAAATGATTTTAAAAAGCATTTTGACAGCCTAGGAGTTCCATTTTCAGTGATTCAAATGTGACCATTTTCTTCAAATTCGTTCCAAACATGGTGGGGCTGAGATAAATTTTTTTTTAACTCCTGTTGAGGAAATTAGACCTTTCGTCGTGGATCTTGAACCGTAGTAGGGGACCTTTGACCATTGTCAGGGAATTTCTGGTTCACACTGGGCGCACCAAATGTGTCTTTTGAGGAATATCTTCCTTTTATTGAGTGACATAATGCTGCTAAAGTGGAATATTAACCCTATTTCATTCCCTTCAATTATAAAAACGAACTAATTTAATATTTACAGTTTTTCCGTATTGTATTTTTGTACTTAAGCTTCAACGTATACCTCAAAACTTGTATTGCTTTTAAAATTACAATCATGCGTTGTAATAAATTTTATTTTGGTATTATATAGACTCCAGCTGTGTTTCATTCATGTATTTGTTTTAATCTGATGGTGGTGATGATGATGATGATGGTGGTAGTGGTGATCGCAATCATGATCAGTGGTGTAACAGCTAATAATAATAATAATAATAATAATAATAATAATAATAATAATGTTATATTTATATAGCGCATATTGCACATTGCCCCTATGCGCTTTACAAAGAAATAATATAGGCCAACTGAGAAAATGCAAATAATAAAAATAAAATAAAATATAAAAAAATAATCATAATAACAATCACAGTTACAGTTGCTGGTAAAGGTCAATACTTCACGTGAGTGCTTAGAATGACTATCCAATCAGATTTTCAAGTCACCATCCTTAAGGTCACCAGTGACAAGCTCATGTTTACTAATTGCAGTGGGCAAAATGGCACTCTCAGACCATGGATGTGTACATGATCAGACCTAAACTTTATTATAATTTAGCCTTTTTTCTCCATTTTTTCAAAATGGTTTTGAAAAATTTAGGTGAAAAAGGAATTTTTGGTGGACCGGCTCGACACCCCCTTTGAATTGGCCACATATTTCTGTCTGAACCATTCTAAATCCATTCTGTTCGCCACATATTTCTGTCTGAACTGGTTACAAGTTACCTGAAAAATAGGAAAAAGTTTATAAATTACAAAGATTGTAATTCTCCTGAGCGAAGCACAACACGGTGTACTTCGGGATTTTGTTAGGTCCCACGCTTTTTCTTTTATATATAAATGATATTCCGAATTCTTCCAATTAATTTCAGGTTATGCAGACGATTCCAATTTTTCTCACACATATGAAGACAAAACTACTAACATGCGCATTCACATTTCTATCGGGAGTGTTTGCGAAGCGAAACCGACGCTTTGATTCGCGCGAATAAATTCGCCTAGTGGAAAACCAGCTTTATACGCTGATCGTCTTATACACGATCAAATAATATAGTTAATATCTCAAGTCCGAATATCGGAAAAGACTGAAAACAGTGACCCTGTGTGCCAACTGAGGATTGCATAATCGCCGCTCCAAAGTCAGATGAGTAAAACTTTTTGCCGAGAAGTAAACCATCGCACTATAACGGGCCTATTTAAAGTTAAATTTGATGATAATTTTTGATAAGACACAAATGTACGGTACACTTTGAAATTTTAGTTCCCGAAAAAGTTATTCTGAATCTGAAGAGGGTACAGAATAATTTTCTTTGATGTTGAGCACGGTAGGCATGAAGTAGCCGCTTTTGAACCTCCTTTTATCTAAAAGAATTATATCATATTAGTTTTAATTGTAAACGTTAATTTATTTATTTTTTGGATAATAATTAGGCCCCATAAAAAAATTATCAGTTTATCACCCGCTCCATTATCACTTTTGGGGAAACTCAGATTTTTATTTATTTATTTTTTTTTATTTATTTATTTTTTAATCAACATAGGCCTATATTTTTATTACAAACGATCGTTTTCTTCCATCTTTTTTCACTTGAAAAGATCAGGATTTCTTGCAAATATAGTTACTTGTACAAAAAAACATCTTTTATATATATAGGCCTATATAATATCTGTCTCTTATACACATCTAGATGTGTATAAGAGACAGGTGCGTATAAATGATTAGATATATT